TGAAATATCACAGCAAAAGGCAGTAAAAATATTTCATTGTCATCCAGCATAGTATCCAGTGCCACTGCATATGAAGGTCTGCATATGTATCTGCCCCAGAATATTGCCATTCTAATAGAGGCTGTGCACACACCTAATTTCCTGATTTTCCTTTCTCCATAATTTTCAGTAGTAGAAGTGAGAAGACCTGAATCCTTTATTATTACATGAGTAAGTTAAGGAAAAAATAAACGTCCATTCCTGAAACATGCTCTCACAGCAAAGGAAGAATTTTTATGATATGAGCAGAGGAAAAAGTGAGTGGAAGAACTCTGAAGATGGTCAATGTCCATGTGAGGTCATACACGGTGCTGCAATGGCACTACTCAGCTTTGCCACTGGAAAAAGCAAGCCCACCTTCCCTCAGACGATTGTTCATAACACCCTTTTCTGAATTATTCGCATTTGAAATGTGAATTTAATGCCTTAAAAATATGTATCTGACTAGCAATCAGTATGTAACTTAGAGTGCCATTGCTCTGCTTTGCCACGTGACTCTGAAAGGTGAACAAAAAAGAGATCAAGGTGGAAAGATATTGCTCAAAATTTCATTTTTCTGTATCCCAGACATCCATTTATTTTTGAGAGAGTCTGATTTATTAGCATCTTCTGGCCCTTTGTATAGTTAAAACTGACTTTATGAAATGCATGATGACACAGCAGAGCAGAACAGAAGAGAAAACCAGCACATGATGCTGCAGGGCTATGCCTTTAGCGTGGGAAGTCCAACAGCTCTGCTCTCATTGCATCATTTAGCTTATAGAAGTGGCTTTCACTTTTCTCTCCAGTGTCCTCTGCAGGTAGCTCAGCATAGGGTTAAGACAGTCACCAATACATGTAGTGTCTTGAAAGTACTTGCCTAGACAAATACCTTTTTCAGGCAGTGTAGGGTACCCCTCGCCTCTTATCTTGGCCAGCCAGACAGTAGGCATTAAGCAAAGACGTGACAGTTCTGATCCTCTGTAAGGCAATACAAATGATAACCATTTAGAGACACACTCACTGTCCTTCCACTGCTTCTTGCACAAGGGTAACTGAAAACACTTCTAAAAATGAGGCTCATTTTCTTTGAAACAAGTCTGCAACAATTCTCCAGAGACTAGTCCAGTACTGCTAATGGAAATTCTGTAAGCTCTAAATTGGCTATTCTCGTGTATTTATTTATTTTTTAAAATTTTAAATTCACTTCTATTACAGCCATAGGCCACTCTATTGGTTCTGAAAATAAGATGTTTTACTGTTTTACTGTTCATGACTGAAGTGACAAACTCCTGCCATCTAGAGGGTGGTTTCTGGAACATATTTGGGGCAGATACCATGTCACAGTGTAAAATAAAGCGAAGATAAAAAGCTTAGTGTCTACGTATCTCTTTGGGGTTTTCTAGATTTCTCCTTCTTTTCATTCATGAATTTATGTAAAAATGCCCAGTCACATCTGTGCATGTATAATAGTTCTTTCTTCAAGAGCTCCATTCATTCATGAGAGCAGATTAGCTGACTAGGATAATGATTACAAAATAGATTAAAACTTTCTGTTTGTATTTTTTTCCAATGCAATAACATTTATTCTCATTGTGTTCTTGCATTCATGGCTGCTTAAAACAGACTACAGTGGTCACAAGCAGAATACAAGAATATTGGTGATTAATGACATTCATTAAGAAAAGTGAGACTTACACAAAAACACCTCTAACATCTCAGAAAAGATGGTATTTTCTAATTAGGTTTTTTATTTAAACAGTGTGGCCAGGGCTACCAACAATAATTAAAAACTACTTCTCCACACATTTTCTCACGAAGAACTGTCCAGTTTAGTGACCACCATGATTTTTTTGTTGCTATAACAATAATGCTGTTTTCTGTGCATCCCACTAACATGCTGTGAAGCTCACGTCTTGAAGGAAAAGCATGACATGCAAACAAATTGTTGTAGGAGAACCAACAGTGGCCTTACAAAAGTTAGGAGTGTCTTCCTGGAAAGGCAATGATGGCCCATGAAAACCTCTCTCAGTAAGTGAAAATCACATTTCATAATCAGCAGCCAACTTTTAGGAAGAATTACATGACCAAATACAATGTGAAGCAACATAAACATCTCACTTGAGCAAATCGATGATCAAAGCACACAAAGCAATGTCCTCGATTATCGGTGATGAAGAGGGAAGGGGACAATTGACTCAGCGATCAGAAGCCAATTTTACTGGGTTACATAAGCTTACATACCATTCTAGGGAAGCTAGTAATTTTTTACTACAGTGGTTGAATTAAGCATCATACAAACATACATGCATATTTCAACATTGATTCAATCTTCTCCCTGTCGCCAGACTTGATTCAATCTCCTTGCAATCTTCAAAGCTCTGTTTGGTCCTGCCAAGGCATCCTGGCTATCAGATCTCTTATGCTAGTCAAGTTCAAAGTACTTTCTGATTTCACTATACTAGATCTTACTTACATGAAATATGTATCAAATCCTTTCTAGGTGAAAGACCACAAAATACACTTGAATGTGATCCATGCACTTATCTTCCATTAAATATCTATACAGTACATCTTCTAACTATTTTCACGAAGGGTTTTCTAGGCAATATCCATCTGTGACAGTAACTTGCATAACCTCAGTTAAGACAGAGCTGCTTGCAGGGATTTTTTATGGCATGGATATAATTTCCCTTTTTAAGCTACATTGTATTCCTACCATTTAGATTAATCAATACATCACTTTAAAAATAGCTCAAGCCACAGATGAAAGATTTCAGAGATAACTTTTCAGGAGCCCATTACAATCACAACTGATCGTTACAATTACTATACCCAAAATACGGTCTCTTGATAAGTGAGAGCTGAGGTACAATTGCCTCTCAAGCAAACAAGATGTGAGGCTGGGCCATGCACGGAGCAGCAACATCCACGCAAACAGATGGAAAAGCTCTTTCTGGATGCCCGCGCCGCACGCCGTGAGGGGAAAGGGGCAGAATCGTGCTCGGAACGTTCCCGCCGGG